TAGTAGTAGAGTATAGTATAGTAGTAGTAGAGTATACTACTAGTAGTAGAGTATAGTATAGTAGTAGTAGAGTATACTACTAGTAGTAGAGTATAGTATAGTAGTAGTAGAGTATAGTAGTAGTAGAGTAGAGTGTAGTAGTAGTAGTAGAGTATAGTAGTAGTAGAGTAGAGTATAGTAGTGCAAAGCAAAGTAGTGTCAAGTAGGGAATAATAAGAGTATAGTAGTATATATTGTAGAATAGAGTAGAGATGAGGTAACTAGAGTATAGTAGTGTAGGTTAGAGTACAGCTTCAACTAAAATATATTAGAGTAGAGTAGTGTAATATAGGGCAGAGTAGAGTAGAGTAGTGTAGAGTAGAGTTGAGTAGAGTTAACAAGATTACAGTAGTGTAGAGTTAGGTAAATTAGAGTAATGAAAGATAACTTAAATAGACCACAACAAAGTAGAGGTGAGTAGAATAGAGTCGGAGTACGCAGAGCAGAAATATAGTATAATACTGTATAATAAATAAGAAGAGAGAAAGGTGCAAAGTGTAAAGAAGTACGGTAAAAAAAAGGATGAACCAGATAACAAGATAGAGAAGCCAAGAAATGCAATAAATTCCGAACTGCCGCAGTAATGAGGAAGCCTGATTTGTTTACGTCTTTAGAAACAACTCATCTCTTGCTCTCCACCTACCCGCCCTCTGTCTCTAGCCGCCCCTACCAGAAGATCTCACACTCTATTTCCAAATGCTGCACTTGAGATTTAGTGGCGCATTAACATGAAATTATTTACGAATTTTCACACAATTACCTGCTCGCCAGGCAGCCGACAAATGTACAGGGTATAGCGTAACCACAACAACAATTGACTCAACAATAACAACAGCAATAAGTAGCGGCAGCAGCAGCAGCAGCAGCAGCTGCTGTTGTTGTCTGCAGGCAATTGTTTGTTTGATTACGTGTAATTGGAATTTAATTTAGTTGCATGGCCCACAGACAAAAGAGATGAGAGAGAGGGAGGCAGTGAGAGTGTGAGTGGTAGAGTGAGGTAAAGCTGCATTAGCTATGCTTGATTTGCAGTTATTAATTTGTGCAGCGAGATGCCTGAAGTTAATATTTGGCTTATACATATAAACAACATGCGTGCATGTGTATTTGTGAGTGTGTCTGTGTGTGTGTGTGCTTATAATACAATCTGCCTGCTTTATCCGCCTAGGTCGAGCGAACGCAATCTTAACCTGCGCGCCGCAATGATTCATGTGATTGGGGATCTGGTGCAGAGCATCGGCGTCTTTCTGGCGGCCATACTAATCAAATTCTATGTGAGTTGAGTTCATCGCCGAGGTCTAGACATCAATTAAAATTGAGCATCATATGAACTAATTCAATTTTATGCTTGGTATGCAGCCGGGCGCCAAGTTCGTGGATCCATTGTGTACGCTGCTCTTCTCGATAATTGTGATTATGACCACAGTGCAGCTGTTCCGTGAGTCTGTCGGCGTCCTCTTGGATGCGGTGCCGCGGAATGTGTGCCTGGCGACGCTGCAGCACGAGCTGTCCGGCATCGAGGGTGTCAAGTGAGTGACAGTCGAGAACATTGAACTCGCTTAAATTATAAATTATGATATGTCTTCTCCCTCTCTCTCTCTGCCTCTCTCACTCTTCCTCCACAGATCGGTGCATCATGTGAATGTCTGGCAGCATACGAGCGACTACAATGTGCTGATGGCTCATCTGGTTGTGGGTAAGCCAGAGCATATCGGATATATGTATATATGTAGTCTGATCTGTTTTCTCGTTTCAGATGCGCTAAGCGATCCGAATGCTGTGCTGGAGCTGGCCACACAGTTGGCCTGTGGCAGCAAATACAAGATCAAACATGCGACCATACAAATCGAACGTTTGACTGAGTAATTCAATTATGCAATTAGCCATAGCTTAATTACGTTCTACTATAACCCCTAGAAGTGTATTAGACAACAACAGCAATTTATATACTAAACGACCAAAAAGGCGTCTGGCGCGCGGCAACAATTCATGTGATCCTATTGAGAAATAACTAGAAATCGTATTCATATCTTTTCAATTGTTTTATTTTTTTATTAATGTTTATTAATGCTGTAGATAAATGTTATTTCTAGATTGTCCAAAACAACAACAACAAAAGAGCACAAATGCATATTAAGTATACGTAATAAATATAAAAATTAGCTTTTAATATATTAAGTATACGTAATAAAGAAAAGAGCCTTCATAAGTTGTTATATATCATTATGATATTTTTTTTTTTTTTTTTTTTTTTGATGATGAATTGCCAACGTCTACGCAATCTTAATTACTTATCAAGCGCCTCCTGCTGCGCCATGAAAATAATTTGAATTTCAATTAGCTGCAGACAATGTAAACATTTTTAGTTGTAGAAAATTTTGCAGAATTTATTGTAACACCAGTCAAGTTGGACATATATATACCTCACTCTCTCCCTCCCTCCCTCTCTCTCTCTCTCTCTCTCTGTGTGCGCTCAAATTAATTAGAATTTGCTGCATCAGCAAGCGCAAATTTTGTCGGCTGCTTAGCAAAAAAAAAAAAAACAAGAAAGAATGAAAGAAAAACTCTCGCTGTAATAATGGATGTCTTTATCTTTGCTTCTTATTTTAATTAGCAAGCCAGCACCACCTGCTGCAGTGGTTGGTCGTCGAAAAAAAAATATATAAATATATATATGTATATGTATTCCTTTACAAATTCATAAGCAAAGTGGAATTTACATCAAAGCTGATTTGTTATCAGCTTGCGGTGGTGCGCCGTATACTTAATATCGAGCGAGCCTAGCAAATTGTGCACAGTGGTGGGCAAAAGTGTACGGACAAATGGGAAAGTTGACAAATTTTATAAATGTCTTAAAACTAAAATGAAATGTATTTAAAAGCAGTTTATTTAGGTGTTGAAGGAAATAAAATCAAGTAAGAATATTTCATAATACATACATATAAAATAGTCTGCAAGCATATCCAATAGATCATATCACAGTCCAAAAATTATATATTAAATACTTTAATCTCAAAAAATTTAATATAAACCAGTTTTTTATCCTTCCTCCAAATAATTTTCGATTAGCTCTAAATATTTTTCGAAAATTTCCAAATGCTTATTTATTAATGTGATCAAATAATTCTAAAATTTGATATTCGTAAATTGCTCAGTGAATATTTATTACAAATATGCATTCGCATCGAGTGGAGTATTTATGCATGGGCTGCGCGGCTAAATGCTGATTAAACATAATTATTTTTGTGCTGCTTAATTGTTGTTTTCATAATTTATATGGCCAAGTGAAGCGGCCGTTCATATATGTATGTTTGCATGCATGCATGCATATATGTATGTATGGCATAATTCATATATTGTACAAACACACACACACACAAATCGGATTAGAATATCGCATCTCAACACATTCGGACACTCGCAAACGCGGCAACCGGAATTCAATGAACCGGAATTGAGCAAATCAAGCATGGCTCACACACACACACACACACACACAAACGCACTTATGGCGTCATATAATGTTAACACATGAATGAAGTCAAGTCGCAGCATCTTAATCAGGCAACACCCACACAGACACACACACACCCACACACACTCGCACAGCCTTGTTTGAATGATGCCTGTGCATTTGTCAGCCGTTAAGCCGCTTCAAATTGAACAAAACGACTCGATCCTTGAGCCGCTCCTTTATTTCATTTTTTTTTTTTTTGTCTTCCTTCTGCCTTTTGCTTGCTCCTTTTTGGCGCACAGTTCAATACGCTCGGACACGATTAAGTTATTTATAATTTATGAAGCACGAAGAAAGAAGCAGAGAATGGAAAAACAAGTCTGAATATTATAGGCATGAGCTCAACTGACTGATTCATACTCGTGCAGGCTGAATTCGATTGGAATATAAAGTTATGTATAAGTGTGAAGCTGAGATGAAAAGTAGATGAGTCACTTAAGAGCTAATCAAATATCCAACCCTAGCCTTAAGACTGCAGACTCTGTTATGCCTGCAATACGATACTCTTCTTCCATTCTTCCAGAGCTTATATGTAGAGGAAGCCTAATTTCTTACCAGACTCTGCCTTTTCACCTCCCCAACTTTAAAAGAACTGTGCCCGCTTTACTCTTTTACTTTTACCAATTGCCCACGCCCATAAGCAACGTCTATTTATACAAATTTCTCTAAGAATCAACTCAATCTAACAGTCAAGGGCAAGTGAAGTAAGCATGCCAGCAAAACTACGTTCCCAGCTGGAGTGCGGCCACACAATGAACTCTCGAGTTCACCAGACGCGTATTTAATGGATTAGTCGCCCTGGGCCACTTTGGAGAGCAAGGTTCGAGCGATTCTAAAGAAACTCATTGTTCGTGAAGTGAGCAAAAATGCCAAGAAGTCAACTTCGAGCAGCCTGTGATACGTTGCTTCACCCACTCATGGCCATAGTCGGCGCAAAAGATATATATAGAATGGATATATATGGAGAAGATATATTACTTTTGTATATTTCTTATTAAAAAAAAAAAAAAAGAAAAATTAATTTGTGCAATGAATTTATGGTGTATTGAAAAAAAAATATATAAAAAAATTAATTAAAAAAATAAAAAAAAATAGATATATATTTATTTATTATTTATTTACAAATAATATCATATATACATCAAATGTAAAATGAAATAAATATATATATTAGTAAATACAAAAATGTATTTATTATTTCCATATAAATAATATCATATGTTTATACTCAAGTGTGAAGTCTTCAGCTCTCAATAAAAGCTACAGTAATTCCACTTTACCCGCCGACTGGTCATATGCAACTTGCCACGCCCACCACTGGGCGTATGCAGAAAATATAAACATATCATAAAGCGAGCTTAAAAATACAAACGACAACCAATATATTGCATGCAAAAACCAATATACTCTTCTCGCACTTCCTGAGCGAGTATAAAAATAAATATACGTATTGTACAATATATACATATATATTTATATGGGTTATATGTAAAGGAGGTAAGCAGCAGCAAGAGGTCAAAACGAAATGAAAATTTCCATTTCAGTGCCAAGGAAATTGCGTTAAAATGATGAAGCAGCCAAAGCCGCTGCAGCTGAGCGAACACACACGCACACGCACTCACACACACATGCGCATCCTTGTGCCGCCTTGTTAAAGCCAATTCGAACTCTGGCATAAACTTTACATAAATCAAGCCAATCGAGCCAATTGTGCGCTGCACTCATTAAAATATGTGAGAAGAACAAAAAAAAAAAAAACAAACGTATCGAATGCAGAGGCTTAACTAAATTTAATTGCTGACCCAATTGGCTGCTGCAGCAGCGCCCCCTGTTGGCCGAAAAGCGAAGAAGGGATAAAACTAATTAATAACATAAAATAAAGGCAACAACAACAACAACAAAAGCGAATTATCAATGGAAAGTCGGGCGCACGCTTCAAGTGCTCGCCCAAGTACTTGAGCATTTTTTCAATGCTCGCGCTAGTGGGCGTGGCTGGGGTCTGGCTGGCGCACTTGAAATGCGCAAATGTAAAATTAATGGCATACTTGACTTGATGCTTTTCTAATTAGAAATGCATATATAACGAAAATCGTAGCATACATTTCAGCTGCAGCTTCAGCTTCAGCTCAGCTCAGCTCAGCTCTAAAAAGCGCTTAAAACAGAGCACTCGACTCGACTACTTCAGCTGGCACTTAACACTTTGCCAGCGCGCACACACACAGACACCAACTCACACACACACACACATATACTGCTACAGCAAAAGAGAATCAGCTAAAGTAATTGAAGTGGCTTTGCACGTGCGCTGAGGAGTTCAGCTCAAGCGGAATCCATCGTGGACACAGAAAACTTGACAGCAAAAATTATCTGTGGGGGGGGGCTGGGGCAGGGCGAGACGTGGCGGCTAAGGGTGTTGGCAGTTAGCGATGAGCGCGTGACACGAATAACAGCAGGACAAACATCAATTTAAACACCAAATGCTAAAGAGTTGTCTCTGAGCAGCTAGAGATGTGCGCGTGACACGAATTACAGCATCGGAATGAACATAAATTTAAAGTGACACGATTCAAGTGTTTTCATATTTCAGCTTATCCTTTCTATTAAATAGGCCATTGGGAACTGGGCCAGCTAGAGATGTGTACGTGACACGAATTGGGAAGCGATGCAGCCGAAAATGATATGACGTATCGAAAAAATAAGAAACAGCAGGTAAAATATAGCATGGAATTCCTATTCAAAATATAGTAGAAATACCAGAAATGATGTGAGCGTGACACGAATAAGTCTGGAAATTAATTTACATTACTACAGTTTACATTTCTCTAGTATATTTTTGTTGTTGCTTCAGTTTAATAATAAAATATATTTTCAGCAATAAAAACATATTTATTCCATTTTAATTTACTCAATTTTTAATATTTATTCAAATTGTTCCACCTATTAAACTAACACTAAAAAATATATTAAAGTTATACATTTTTGATACACCTTAGTACTTTACACCTTAAGACAATTTTACTTTTATTGAAACGTTCATTAGGAAAGTTATTTAGCTATTTCTTATATATTTAACATGAGGTTTAATAAATAATTTATTGACCTAAATTAATATATTAAACTTAGCTGCTTTTAAATGACTAATAATAGGATACAAATATTTAGATCTAAAACTTTTTTTTTATTTTAGTTCCTACTTTTATTTCATCATTATTACTATCATTAATATTTACATTAACATTTTACACACAAAAAGAAAAAACGTTAGCTCAAGTAAATTTATTAAATCAATTAGTTGAAAATGTGTTTTTATAACAAATCAAAAGTAAAAAAATTAAAGATATATTACTGTAAATGTTAACATAAATCAAGTCCAGAAATTTTAAGTATAGGTATCAAACATGGGGGTATCAAAACTCTCAACTTTGCAGAACACAAAAATTAGATATTTAACCTGAGTTACTTTTCATTTAAACTAAGTTAGTCGAGCCTAAAAACGACGCAAACCCTCTCCTCGATTTGGTGTATTCAATTGAGGAGCCCCATAGATAAAGGACTCCTCCCTAGAGGGCGGACGCTGTGAGTAT